GTGACATTGAGCTTGATCTGTGGAGGGTCAAACCTGCGCTCTGCACGTTGTCTCATTATGGTTAACATTGACAGGTAGATTTAATTTCCTTCCACAGGTTCAAAATAGACAGACCGCACACAACAACTGCAAATTTGAAGAATTATACCCCCTTTTTTATGTTTATTATATTGAACTATCCAGCACTGAAAAATATGAGCACGCCGTCCGCTGGCAGGTCTTGTTTAACATCACCTTATAAAAAAAATTGAGTAAAGTGGATGAACATTTGACCGTAGCCATTTTGTGACCTGGCAAAACGTTCAAGTTTCATTTAGTTATATAGAGTGACCATACATATTTCTTTTATAATTGATTCATTTAATTAGTAGTTTTCTTATATTTGTTTTAATTTATTTAAAATGGGTTAAATATTTAACTTAATATTTTACAAAATTACTGCCATATCATCGGATTCTAAATTCAAGTTTTAAGTTTTTGTGTCCCCACTTTGGGTTGGCGGGGGCATTTAGATTTACCCTTGTCCGTCCCTCCATCTATCTCATTTTGTGTCGCATGTAGCTCAAAAATTATTTGACCTAGAGTCATGAAACTTTTCAGGAATGTTGCTAAGCATGTGTAGTTGTACACCTGGGTATTATTTTGTGTGGATGGTTTTAGTATTTGTAGAGTTATACCCCTTGACTTAGTAAAAATTTTCAATTTGGGTCGAGTGTAGCTCAAAAAGTATTTAGCCTAGAGTCATGAAACTTAACAAAATGTGGCGCATTTTAGTTGTGCAAAAATAGGAAAGTTTTAGCCTATGTTATTAATTTTTTTATTTCCCCAAAAAGCGTCTTATTTTTAAAATAAACGTTGTATCCCCCTTTGTTTTTGTCAAACTTTCTAAACTTCCTTTTTATCTAACAGAGTCTTATCTCTTTAAAATGTGGTTGACTTGTGTTAATTGTTAAATTTTTCTAACATATGTTATTGTCAAATGTCGTTTTGGGCTGTCGAATTTCATTTATGTCAATGTCGCGCTTTTTGGGGTAAAATTTGTGGGCTTTTTTTCTAAAGCGTTGATCATTTGAAACAGTAGTTTTTCTTTGTGGTTTTTGGTGTTGTTGAAAAGCACAGCTTTTTTTATCAACCCATTTTAAATTTTGTCAAAATAGGGTTTTTGTTTAATTTTTTAACTTTGTTGTGTTCAAAAAACCCGGTTTTAAATTTTGCCCTCACTACGAGTTGTCTTTTATATCAATTTCGAAGTATCTTGCGAAATGGGGTGTTGACGGGTTTTTTGCCTTTTTTTTTTAAAAAACAAAAAAAAAAAAAAACCCCAAAAAAAAAAAAATTAAAAACCCGGTTTTTTGATTTGGGTTGGGTCAAAAACCCCCCTGGTTTTAAAACTGGTTTTTAAAAAACCGATTTTCTTTTATAAGTCAAAAAATTGGGGTAATTTCGAAATTGGAAATGACTTGCAAAACTTTTTTTATAATGTAAAACTGAAGAGTTTATTGTCAATTTTGTTTTCTTTAAAAACACAAAAACATTTTTTAAATTTAAAAATTTGTGAAAATTTTGTTCAAATTAGTCTGTTTGGAAAGCCTGTTTTTGCTAAACTTCCCGTTTTTTTTTGCTTATTTTTTCCGCTCCCGGGGGTTTGGGTACGTGATAAAATTTTGCAACATCGCTTTGGACGGGATAACACGTTTATTGACTGATGAGACGGTATTTAGACATGTTAACTCATAAACTGGCAAGTAACGCCCAGTACTTAATGATACTTTTTTCAACTAACACACATTTGAAAAGGAAAAATAATTTCCCCAAAAAAGGACGTGTTAGTAAAAAAAAACCCCAAACCCTTGAAAAAATTGGGGTTTAAAAAAAATAATTTTAAAATCATCCCCCTTTTCGACTAGATGATATGACTATAAACAAATAAGGAATATAAAAAAGTTAAATTTGCATTTGGACACTAGCATGACAGTTTGACAAAAAAAAAGCGTGTTAACTTCATAACCATAATTTTAAAGAACCACCTTATTTCACATAAAAAAACGGTGTTTAGGCCGGTTAAAATAAAATTTGAAAAAAAAATGGCGATCTGAGAAAATAAACAGGTTTTGACATTCAATACCCTCTTTCGACAAGTAACAAACTGTTGACTAAAAAAATAAAGTTTCTAAACAACAAAATTTATTGGGAATCAAAATTGTTTTTTTGAAAAAAGGGATTTTTTATACGGATCAACATTTTTTGACAAGAAAGCAGAGTTTGGGACAATAAACAGAAAACACACCTCATACAAAGCAAATAACGTTGAAAAAACAGACAGCGCCTAGCCGGTCAAATAACGGTGACAATATATCCTACCCCGAAAATAAAACATAGTTGACAGTTGCCCAAAGTTCCACAAATGACACTACTGTTTTAAATGATAAGCAATTTTTAGCAAAATTTCCACCACAGTTGGAAAGACGGTATTTTGCATAAAAACTTTCTAGAAGATTTAAAAACCCAATTTGAAAACAAAAGACAGCAGTCTGACAAATGTGAGTTTTAGACAAGTCAAACCCCATTTGGGCAAGACAAAAGACAGTGTACATAAAACAACAGGTCAAAATCGAGGTCACCGACAAAGACACAACTTCGCAATAAAATACTGTTTCACATGATAAGAAATTTCAAAAAATTCAACCCACATTTAAAATCTGTTTCAACATATTAAAACTTCGAAAAAATGGCAGCTGTTAGAAATTTAAGACTTTCCCTTGGCATTTAAAACCCGGATTTTCACTGAAAACGTTTGAAAAAATGCGTGTTTAGACAAAACGCACTTCGTTTTAAAAAAAAAAGAAAAATGAAAATTTTACATAAAAAGACTTCGTTAAGAGCGGTTCTCATAAAAAGTTTGGGAAGCCCCAAAACTTCTATTTAATAATAAAACCTTTGGGAAAAATTAAAAAGAAAAACAACATGGGCATAGGGGTTCAAATAAAATTTTGCTTTGGATTTATATATTTTAGTGTTATCCCGTTGCTTTGAAAAAAAATTTCTTTTCAACTTTGGCACATGTACCCAAAAAAAATTTAACCTAATAATAGGGTTGAAAAAAAACAAAAGTGAAAAGTGGGTCACTCTTTCCCTTTCCCTTCAGTTAGTCGGATTTTCCGTTCATATTTTAAAAATTAAAGGCTGCTGGTCAAATTTTCAGCTCTTTTACCCCTTTTTTTTTTTTCAACGACGATTGTTATGCTCTTATTTAAAATTTTTTTAAGAACCTAGCAGGCAAAAATAAAAATTTTCTGCAAAGGGTTTTATGGATTTTATCAAATTTGTTGTAATTTTTTTAATCTTACTTTTTTTGCTTTTTGATGTTCGGAATTTTTCATAGTTTGGTATTTTTTTGGGCCTTTAATAAAGGTGAGTCTATTCAACATGCTCTTGTAAACGTGCAAAAATTTAGATTTATGGGTAAAAACTCAGAAAGGGTTATACAAACCAACCTTAAAAAGGTCAACTAAAAAAATTTCATGTGACCAGTTTTTTTTAGCTTTGTATGTCCATTGAAAACTCACGAAAACATCCTCAAGATATTCATCTTTTACCTGCTTACTCCATCGTTAGGCTTGGCTTACATAATCTTTCATATCAAACACACTTTAAAATGCTTACTCGATATTGATACTAGGACCTCTTAGTTGTTTATTACTTTTTCTTTATCTTTGGTACGCTTACTAACTTTTTTACAATACTCTAATATTGTTAATTCGTATATTCCTGATTATCTTTTATATTTTAACAACTTGATTTTAATTTGACATTTTTAACTTATTCCCGGACCCCCTTGAGTACCGTATTGCTTTAAACTCAAAACATTTTGCTTGATCTTTTTTATGAAACTCTGATCATTTAATGGACACTTTACGTGCTTTTTTTTGGACGTTTTTCTATTTACATTAAACGTTGCTTACTTAAATTTAATTTGACATAAAACGTTTTTTACTTGATCTTTATTAGGGACCACGTGTTAAAAATTGATTTTTAATGTATTTTAGAAATTTAAATAGCAAAACTTGTCTTTTTTAGACATTCTTATGGACTAATTAAATTTGTTTGACTCTACAAAGTGCTTACCTTATCTAACGTAGACACTTACTTGCTCACTTGATTGGTATTAGACATTTTAGTATTTGAGATTTGAATGTTCAGAAATATCAATTAAGTAATAGAAAGAGCATCGAAACACGAGGCTATCTACGAGGGGGCGTAGTCCCAGAGCCAAGTGTTTTGATGTTCTTTCTCTTTTGTATCATAGTCAAACATATAAACACGTTCTCTGTTGTCACAATATGAAACCCCGGAGAAAAGTAACCAATGAACGAGCATCTAAATATCATATTTCTGTCGCTTTCACTTTCTGTGCCGTCACAGTAAACCCCAGCAAAAATGAGCCAATCAATGGGCATGCTCTGGAGTGCGGGTAACTAATACCTGCACTCAAGTTAACGCACGGTGCATGTATATGTATACGATTTAACTCGGACACATTTTCAACAGAAAGGTCCCCAAACTATGATACAAGTATTTTCTGACCAATGCTGACTTCATCCATCCATTCATTGTCGTCACAAAATAGTTACAAAGTACACGAAGAACACATTGTTGTCATAATATTTAAAATATTTTGACTCAAAGTGTTGGTTAAATGTAAAATCACGTAGTCGGACATCCTCTACCGAACCATTACTACATGTATTTATCAGCCGACAACATGTTAATCAACCGCGGGCTATACATGTTTATCAACCGTGGGTATCCAACGATGGTTAAATCATTGTGACTTACAACAATCATCACCATCGTACGTGAATTCAAAACTGTCGTCTTGTTTGTTATGAATAACAATTCTTTTGATGCCGTTCACATTTTCTTATTTTATTATTTTAAAAGAGTTTCCTCAATGGAAGCTTACCACAAGTAAACATCAATAAAATTTAAGTAGATCTTACCACAGTCTACAGCTGTGCCTTTTTCATAATCGTATTCTAAATTACAGCCTTGTTCCTGTCTGTTATAAATAACGACTCTATTGATTCCGTATTCTTTTATGAGCTGTATTTCAATCCATGGGTTATAATCTTCCCAATCGCTGTGGTATAAGTACCCAAATGTTTTTCCAAAGATGTTATCTACGGCATTGTTTGGTCCAAGGGAAGGACTAAATGTTGAAGAAGCATCCACGCTTCGGTAACCGATAATAAGATTAGTCCATTCAGCTTGAAATAAAAAATAAATATTTGAAAGTTTGCTATTTTCTCTCATGCGCATTAACAAGGACTTGAATTAAACTTGGTAAGGCATGACATAGTGAAATGTGCTTCAGTACAATTTATTTAGATGAAAAGATGTAATCGATTGTAGATTTACAAATTGTTTTATTTAGAATCTATACAAGTAAATCAATATTTGTCATTGGATATTATTTTCCTTATAAAAGGGCGAAGTCTCAGTAATAATTGTTTGTTTGTTTGTTCGATTTATAGTAACACAAATACTGAAATGGTCATACGGCAGCTTAACTGTTTGGAAAAAGGCTTCGTCAGCTACCAATGTGCATTATTTCAGAAACAAGCTGTTCTTAGAGTATAAGTATCATAATCTACATTTTTTAATTTCAATATATTTATCACTTGTTGGCATGACATTACGTGTTTTTTTAAAAATATTCTTTTTAATAGCATTTGTCACAAAAACTTAACAAACAAAGAATAACACATTCAATTTGTTAGCTTATGATTGCACTTATTGAGCTTTGTTAACTATTTCTTATATAAAAAAAGCAAGAATAAAGACCAACAAGGCAAAGACAACGTTCACAGGACGCGGCCCCCCGAAACATCCAAAACAAGTAAACATCCAAAACAAGTAAAAATACAGACATGAAAAACACGTGAAGGAACACAGAGGGGTACCGCCTTGGAAAGGTCAGTGGTAGTTAAAGCACAGGGGTAATAGCTGTAAAGTCGGTGAACGTGCGTAAGCATGAAACTTAGACTATAAAATGCAATTACTTTACTTTACAAGCAGGGCATCCAGAAGGCATCAAACAAAAACCTACAATGGACATAAGGGCGAAAGGAGCGGGGCATGCAATGCGAAAAAAATATAAACTAAAAAGGGCCCATAAGAGAATTATAGGGATAAGGGCTATAAGGGTGAAATGGTGGGGGGTAAAAATGGAAGAGGGGGGATTGAGAAAATACCTACCGTCCACGACAATCCAACAAGACAGACATCACAAAACAAGTAAACATCCAAAACAAATAACAAAACAGACATGAAAAACACGTGAAGGAACACAGAGGGGTACCGCCTTGGAACGGTCAGTGGTAGTTAAAGCACTGGGGAGTTTAAACCGGTTTTAGGCGCGCCAAACCTCACTCTTAGCCCCAATATGTTCCTGAATGACACGAAAATGTATATTTAATTAATCCCCGCCAAGTGAAATTCTAACAATGGTCATGGTTACATTCGACGAAATAAATAAAACACGTAAAAAATTGTGTAAATATGTAGAAAAAGGTACAGCCTTATGACCATTACCAAAGTACTCGATGCCTTAAAGGAAGGCAGAGCAACAAGAAAATCACCTACAAGGGCCCGATGAAGCAATGCTGAAGACGAACATTAAGACAATTCAGTCCCAAAGGGCTTTAAGAACTATCCATCATAGAGTCTCCCACTTGGTCCGTCAGATGTAATCAAAAGAGGAAAGCGTAGTGCCCAACTGTAAAAGGGCTGAACACCAAGCATGCGGTATGCCTTAAAATAATTGGGTTATAACCTCTTTTAATAAACCATTTAATAATTTTAGTGAAAACGGCAAATAAATAACTATGACCCATGATCCTACGAAGTTTGTAAACCACATCTCCATAGAAGTCAGGCTTACAAATACTAGTACCTAATCGTAAAAAAGTTTTTTTAAATAACAATTAAATTTTAAAACTAAGTCTGAATTACGATGGTAAAGCTTTGTAAAATATTTACGCAATTTATGATAGCGATAACCTTGTTTAAAAAGTTTGTTAGTAATAAAAACAAATTGCGTTCATTAAAATCATCAACACGACTGCACGCCATAGCAAATCTAATAAATTGAGAAATATACACCCCATATGATGTAGCATGAGGTACATCTCCATCTAAATGTGTGATAATTAACAATATTAAAATCAAAATCATCTCTTTTATCGTAGATTTTAGTTACTACAGTATTGTTAATGATAGAAATATTTAAATCTAAAAAAAAGATGTCATAACGTCTGAAGAGTTAGTTTTATTCAATTTAATTTCACTGGGATATATTTTAGAAACCAATAAATCGAAATAAGGATTATTCATGTTAAGAATATCATCTAGGTAGCGGGAAGTGTTGTTAAATGCATGTATAATTTCCTGATGTGAAGTAGGGGAAAGTCTTAATATAAATTCCCACTCATAGCAGTAAAGAAATAAATCAGCTATCAGGGGGGGGGGGCACAATTAGTTCCCATTGGAATACCTATTATCTGTTTGAAAACTGTATTACCATACCTGACATAAATGTTATCTAATAAAAAAGTGCTTTACAAACTTCGTCACAGGTCCACATTGTATATTGTTTAATGATTTTATTGTTAAAGAAAGCCTTCTTTGAATTGCAAGCAAGAAACGTGACCTGTTCTCTTGCAAATGTTTTTTAATTAAAGATAATAATTTATCTATAAGATTATGTGGCAATGTTGTATATAGGGTAGAGAAATCGTAAGTACTTACAGATGAAGCTTGATAATTCTTAACTTTAAACTTATCTTAAATTTCAGTTGAATTTTTAACAGACCAAAAACGTTTTTTTGCCCGTATTTTCAAAAACTGTTTCACAGTATCTAATCACATGTGTTTTGATGGCGGTAAGACAAGAATATAATGAAATATAAAGATTACTGGTAGTACAAGATGTAGAATTAGCAATATAAAGAGGGCTTTATATGGATGTTTATGTAATTTTAGAATCCAGTATATGAGCTATATCTCACCAACACGTACTTTAAAGTTAGAAATACTAGAAATATGACTTTTCACAATATCTCTTTCAGAAAGAACGGTTTTAGAATAAGCATTAGTGCTGTTAAGTTCATTTTGTGAAACATTTATAAAATGAATACGCCATACAATAATTATGTTATTGGCCGCCTTGTCAGCCGAAACTAAAACAAATTTAGAGTGGAACGCTAATATATCCTTTCTAAGATGCCGTAAAGTAAGTCTAGGTTTAGGTGGTAAAAGATGTTAAGTTTCAAGAAAACTGGACATACAATCTCATATATATAGTACTGTATGGAACTACGGACACCTTGGACAGACGGACAGATAAACGAACGGGCGGGATATGGTTTCAATACCTCGTTCAGATTTTATTAGCGTAGATAATAATTCTAAAGTATTTGAGGCCATATTGTAAATATGACCTCTGACAGCAATATGTGTAGCTACATAGTTGATCTATATTTCCTGTTGTTCTTTTTTCTGCTCATTGGGAAACAAAGCTATTAAGATATTTCAAGATATTTTACATCAGCTTTAAATTCGTCAACCTGAGGACATTCCTACGGAAGAGCATTAGTGCCAGGTTTATGTTTTTATATTAACTCGAAATTTCGATTTATCTTATCTCGAAATTTCGAGTTACTAACTTGAAATTGCGACATACTAACTGGAAATTTCTAGTTACTTATCTCGAAATTTCGACTTAGTTACTCGAAATTTCGACTTATTAACATTACAAGAATGGCCAAAGTTATTAGTTAGATGATATAAGATATAGTAGGGAGTGCCGTTGAACGATGGAGATGGAGAAAGGGGTGCCCGTACAAAAACTATTGAATTTAACTTAAACTTAGTAATGGCATGTACACACCCGACCTAAAAAACACAAGGCTTCCTTTAATCTGTACGTTCAGGCGTTCTTTAGACGTTGTATTGTATCCTATCTGTTCGAACATATCTTTTCACTAATCATATTCTTCTCATCCCTGTGAATAAAACGGTCCTATACTTCACGTGTAGGTCATCTGAGGAAAGTATCGCGGCTTGGCCAAAAAAGGGCATGCTGAGGCCTTTGTCAAAATTGTAAGACTGACTATATTTCTTGTAAAATCGGATGCTTTTTTATTATTCCCAACATATATGTAAAACCAAGTTCCACTTTTATCAACTTTCATCAACACAATATGAATCAAAGTAGTAGTAAATAATGAATAATGTTACAAAAACATTATTAGTATAAAGAAACGTGACAGAATAACTGGCGTATACATGGTATACACGCCATTTAAAACCGATTTAACACATGATATTGCAAAGTTTACAATAGGGTGGGTTTTGCTCGTGTTGTTTCTCCACATGATGGTTGTATGTGTGCTTAAGAAAAAAAAACATCCGGTTAACACGGAAATGTGGAAAGTGTGATTTTACACCCCCCCCCCCTCCACAAAAAAGCGAAGGATATGTTCAGTATGTATGGACAATTTGACCCTATTAAATCGTTCTGTTAAATAAATGTTAAAGGTGCTCTGTCAATGTGCAACAGCTACACACGAAAGAAAGTATCTTGAATTCAACCCTGTGCACTATTAGTCGAAATTTCGAGTTACTAAGTCGAAATTTCTAGTTACTAAGTCGAAATTTCGAGTGACTAAGTTGAAATTTCGAGTAACTAAGTCGAAATTTCGAATTACTAAGTCAAAATTTCGAGTTAATAAGTCGACATTTCGGGTAAATAAGTCGAACTCGAAATTTCGAGTTAATAAGTCGAAATTTCGAGCTAGTAAGTCAAAATTTCGAGATAAGTAAGTCGAAATTTCGAGTTACCAACTCAAAATTTCGAGTTAATAAAAAACACACACCTGGGACTAATGCTCGTCCGTACATTCCAGGAAAACTTTAAAAACGAACCACCGCCAACAGTATGAACATAGTTACGCCCCTTTCTTTTACACTTCTGATGATTGCGTTTTGTGCATGAAACTAATTAGTAAAGGAAAATGTGTTTTTCAATGTGTTGCTTGAACGTAAAAACAACACGTCATGTTATTTCTGTGAAATATATCGACCTTCAAAGAAGAGCAACTATAATCCCCTATTCAAAATTGTATTATGTCTACTGCTGACATAATGAAAGGTTAACATATGTCATTTAAACAAGGAAACAAAACAAGAAATAAATAATTATTACAACTGCATAAGAAAAACAAAGAAAAAAGTTAAGATTTTATTTTTTCAAAACTACTTACGATTTACACCTTGACAGTTGTCTACATAACCGTTTGGACATTTGCATTTATATCTGTTTATTTCATTGATACAACTACCAACTCCACATGGACTTGATAAACATTCATTAACATCTGTAAAATATGATGTGCATAAAAAACAACATTGACACTTAGTAATGTACTACATTTGAGCCGCGTCACGACAAAACCAACATAATGGGTTTGAGACCAGCATGGATCCAGACCAGCCTGCGCTTCTGCGCAGTCTGATCAGGATTCATGCTGTTCGCTATCAGTTTCTCCATCTGTAATAGAGTATGTAAGCGCACAGCATGGATCCTGATCAGACTGCGCGGATGCGCAGGCTGGTCTGGATCCATGCTGGTCGCAAACCCATTATGTTGGTTTTGTCGTGACATGGCTCATTTTATTCTTGATAGAAAAGATTGAATAAAGGTTACTTGGTGAGATCGATGATTGCGCTTGGATGAGATAACATTGTTTAAGGATGGCGACTATGTCATTTGTGTTTCTATATATCATGGACAGCCTATCGTCCAATTTGTCGGTGCATGCTATTTAAGGGACTACCATTTGCGAAAAACTCGATGAATGCCCACTCGTCGCGCAGATCTCCTATGTATTTAGTCTGATTTTATTTCATCAATTTGGATTTGACTAATGGTTCGAACAAACTTCCGCTGCCTATTTATAGTGTAGTTGAACAATGGTCTTATTTAAGGAATACTTTCTTACCAATAACAAGCAGCTTAACGTAAGTTTGCTCGTCGTGGATTTTGGTAATTTCATTCGCACAAAATATGTCGACCCGGGAATTCTAAGGTAATTTTTCACGTTTGATAATTCATTTTTCGTAAATGAGGATAGATGACTCAATATTTTTAACGGTTACTGAAAGATATATATGTTGATTTTATACATTTAAGTATGAAAATATGTCCTCTATAAAAAACATAATGTTGACCGTGTCGGGGTAATACGTTAAGGTGAATTATATACCTTGTATATATTTTATATAGTAAACGGCTGTTCTTGATGATCAAGGGGTGAATATTTTATGATAATTTAACTATTATTGCAAATGTGCTGAACGCCTGTGAATGAAACTTACCAATGGAACATAAACTTTTTTTTCTTCCTTGTTTTCTTTTCTTTTACTTTAGTCGTCTTATCTTTAAAAGACAATGTATTAATTATTTAAAATACTTTAGCTTATTAGTACCTCTCTTGAATTTTTACAAAAAAAAATCTACGCTACCTGCATCACAGTGCGGTCCTTCCCATCCAGGTTTACATTCACAATGGTAACTTTGACCATCTTCTATACAGAAACCATTCACACAAGGGTTTGGGTCACAAGGACTAGTTTCTGAAAAAAAAAATTGGCAAACTGAAGTGAATAAAAAGGACTAGGATATATATGACTGATAACATACGGCATAATATTAAAATTATAATAATAAGAGACTAATACACGGCAGACTAGGGCCGGAAGGTGGTAATAGTTCTGTTCTGATAATCGGCCCGCAAAATGAATAATGGCCAAACGTGTATTATTTCTTAAATACACCGATAAATCTAACAGAAGCAGTATTTTAAGTTTACTTTGATATTTTTCGTTGAAATTCCTATCTCTGTAGATTTCAACTGTACTGTACAGCATCTTATACAGAGTTGCTTCCCTTCTTTGTATCAAACACGATTTATTCTCTCGGAATGACATTATAGCTAGTATTTTATTGTCCCCACCTTTTCGAATAAAAAAGGGGGATATAGAAATAGGCTCCGTCCGTCTGTCCCTCCGTCCGTCATACATTCATGTCCGGTCCATAACTTTGTCAATTATCAAAGGAGTTTGAAATAACTTGGCACAAATGTTTGTTATAATAAGACGATGTGTCATGCGCAACAACCAGACCCATACCTCTAGCGTCAAGGTCGCACTTTCTCATTCATTGTCTATTGGAGGGTATATGCCGTGTCCGGTCCATAACTTTCTTATCTTTGAAGGGATTTTGTAAAAACTTGCCATAATTGTTCACATTAATGAGACGATGGGTCATGCGCAACAAACGGTCATCTACCTCTAAGGTCAAGGTCACACTTGGAGGTAAAAAACTAACATAATCTGTTGTATGGTATATTTTATGTCCAGTCAATAACTTTTTCATAAATCAAAGGATTTTGAAACTACTTGGCTAATAAGACAATGTGTCATGATCAGCACCTGCATACCTACCTCCAAGTTCAAGGTCACACTTAGAGGTCAAATATTAACTTAGTTTGTTAAAGGGTATATTTTGTGTCCGGTCTATAACTTCTTCATAGATAAAGGGATTTTGTAAATACTTGGCACAAATGTTAACAATAATGAGACGTTGTGCCATGTGCAATAACAAGTCGCATACACTAGGGTCAAGACAAAGATTAATATAGTCTGCTATAGGGAACATTATAAGTTCGATCTTACAAGGTCACACTTACAATTAAAAGATATCATAGTCTGTGTTTTCGTTTCCAGAGAATAACTTCAAAAGTATTAGAGATCTTTTGATAGAAAATGGGGGATGTAAAAATGGACCCCATCTGTTTGTCCCATCAAAGAATTTTGAAATAACTTAGCTAAAATGTTCTGTGTAGGCATAATAAGACAGCCTGTCTTAAGTAACTGTTAGATGCCTATCTCAAACGTGTATTGCGCGAATTATAGAAATCTCCAGGGTCATACCATCGACAGGATATGGTATTTAATGTTATTTCATTTTAATTCATTATTAAATTAATTTATTGTTGCATTTGCAGATCCAGAATTGATCAAAATGTTGGACTAATACCACATACCTCAATCTCTGAAATAGCACAATTTTATGCTTCTTATAATACTTCTCTATGGCGGGGGAGTTGGTAACTCTGTTACAAATTCTTGTTTCTTTAAATTTCAATAAAGCTGTGTTTGTAGAAATTACGCTTTTGCATAATTACAAAATCAAGCTATCCTTACTTCAATTTTACTTTCACTTTTACAGCTAGCTAATTAGACGTAAAACGTGACGTCTTTGTTTCAGTCTTTACACGTACTCGTGTTCAGCGGACCGATTATGATTATCAGTTCTCGACCCCGGGCCGCAAACTCATAATCGGTCACGTGACATTCATAATAAGTTGAAATCTTAGGCAATTTTGTTACTATATATAGTAACCAGTGTATTAAATTCTTGTAAATTACATAAAGTAAATAATTCTAAGACTTATGTTAATCTAAAACTGAGACAAAATGATTGAAATGATCAATTTTAATAATTACCGTTTTGACATTCACAATGATCACCGAAAAAACCTTCTTCACAGTTATCACAAACAAGTTCATTTTTATCCCATCTACATTGATGAAATTTTGCACATTGACCTGAATGATATAAAGCATTAAATGTATTTGGAAAGTACCAAGTATCATTATAACAGTTACACAATACTTGATAAAGTCGTGAAATTCCAATCAGTTCGTCAGAACAGCTGAAGCTTAGTATTGTTATTCTTGGTGTTTCTGTTAAAGCATTTAAAGTACTCATAACGGCCATAGGGCCATAAGTATAATTGTGAAAAAACGAAATGATATCGAGTTTTCACCTATTTCGACTTTTCACCATCTTACTTTCGTCCTTTCATCATCGTACCTGCGACTTTTCACAATCATAGTTTCGTTATTTCGAATTTTCACCATCATTTTTTCGACTTTTCATCATCATGGTTTAGACTTTTGTGTCTATCGCGGAGGCTCTAACGCGACATCTACATGTGGGGACGTCATGATAATTTTATCGGGATCATAATATTATGATTATATAAAAGTTTTGATTGGGGGACCATAATTCTATGACCGGTCATTCTAGATCTACTTCGTTACTTTGGCCATAATCATTGTTTGAGTAAAAAGAAATTTCTATATACTATTTATAATCTGTTTGCATATAATAAAAACAGAAATGCATTTCAATAAAACATATCTTACATCTCATACAGATTTTCTTTCCATTTTTGTCAACGCAGGCGTTTCCTTTTAATCCATAGTTTTCACACTGAAAAAAAAACAATTATTTTGGCGATTATTCAAGGCATATTATTCCTCAGATACATTTTACTTTCTTAAGAAATGAAAGGCATGGATTTTACAGCGTTTACATAATGGTTTTAGGGCATGTTATATTTCATGCTTTTCACCTGAAGAAAGAAGTGCTGAATATAAAATTATTTGTCGTAAAAGTAACAAAATGTAAACAAAGTAGTATTTTGACCTCCTAAATCAATATAACTTTAGTAATTGCTTAAAAGTAACAGAAGCTAAAGATGATTAAGGTTATTTGCCATAAATAACTTTTTGGAAACTAAAACATGATATACACAAAATATAATTAAAATAAACGATATTAGAAATATTCGACCAATCGGGAACTATTTTTTCATCCCCGAAAAGGATTGAAAATTAATGCGCCTGTCATTTGACAATCTTTACGCAGTAATCTCCCCGTAAGAACTTGTCATTGTTTTTTTGTACGTTTTCTAGTTATTTCATTTGCTTTCTTTAATTTTGAGACAACAGAAAACAATCTTCTTAATCACATTATATTTCAGTACTCTTTTCCTTAAACAGTTTTTATTTGTTTGGGTCGTCAGACCGAACAAATACTGTTAGCGATGATACTCTTATTTGCAAAAAACCGAAAGTAGTCTGAACTCCTCGAAGCGGTTATTTCCCTTTAAAAGTACACTTACGCCAAAAAATTAAGGGGAGATAACAACTATTTCAAGTAAGACAGTTGTTTTCTCTGTTACCCACTTTGCCATTTTTTTGGGTCTTTTTGCAGGTCCGTGGATGCTAAATTGTATATATTTTGTTTCGTCTGTCACTTTTGACAGATGTGACATCATAGCGCGCACTGACTAGACTGTGCCTCTCGTGAATTTTTGTATACGACAAAGACTTCTACATGACAATTTATCGACACATTTCCAAAAACGGTCATACGACAATGTCGCAAACGTACGACACTGACAATAAATTGCCGTAGACAACGGCACGTTAATAAAACGGCTCCCCATGGTCGTTCGATCTGTAATGTATACTGAAAGATCTCTTAAAAGAATCCGATTCAAAAAATCAAATGAACATAACATCCCTTCAAAATTTTCTCCATTGATTGAAATACATAATATGTTTATCTGAAATAATTTATGACATGCGTAACGGTACGCTGATTTAGGTAGAAATCTTGGGCACTGACTGATGGCTGAGCTAAGGGACTTGTGTCGACAACCATACAAGATTTTTCTTTAAAGTTTTGACAATAAGAAAAGTTAACGTCGCTCGAATAGGGCTATGTTTGGCGAGTTTGATGTGTGGCAAGACGATAACGTTCTCCGACTTCAAACATTCAGATGTATGTGATGGAGCATTATCATTAGGTAGACGAGCATGCTGACAAAGAGCGTTGTTTTTGATATTTTTTCTTGCGATTTTTAAGTAGAACATCTCCGTTATATCGACCTGTAATATTTTCGTTCTTTGGCTGTGAACGTTCTACGGGAGAAGAATATGTAATAAATGACATTATTTGCACTCATTGTCCAAGGCCTTCCAATACGTTTTGCTGGCCATATTTTGTTTCCAATTTATTTTTTGACTGATTCGATTGCGCCACCAGTAACAATGTTTACAAATAGTTTCTGATTTAGAATAAGAAACATATTGAGCAACGGCTAAGCGGTTTGGTAGTATGTAAATATATGGGATATCTCTCGGGCAAAAGTCTTTCCAACTTTCGAAATACGTTTCCAAAATGAAAAGCATCTTTGAAAGCGAGATTCTATTAGCAATTGTAATATCACGAATCGCTTTTTAAACCCCTGACTTTGAGATACATTTGTATTTGTCTTTCCTGACTGTTTCACAGGTCAGCCAGATTTTCAGCATTTTTAACCTGTCTGTGCCAGTTAGAATTTCTTTCAGTCCTACGAACTTTCTCATAGATATCTTGTCCAACTTATAAAATTACCCAAATTCAGAAAAATCTGCCTAACGTAATATATAATAACGTTTAGCGCGAACTTTTATATAAGCTCAAATTTCTTTAATATTCTCAATCCAACTCCCAATCCTTGTACAATGGTTGTCAATCATGCAACCGTTGTTATGAATATAAATCGAGCACACAATCATTTGAAATGGAATCATTAATTCGACCTTGCACCATTTGGCCATTTCGTGCAGTCGTATCTTTTGATACATGTATTTTACTTTATTTTTTTTCCTTGATATAAATCTTTATTGGCCTTTTCCAACATATTGTCATTTGTAAAAGGAAAGTTAACCTTTTTTTAATCGTACTAGACAATTTGTTTTCATTATGGTTTGAAGCTTATTCCTTGGCCTAATATTGTGACAGATTTTTATAGAACTGGATTGTCATCTAGAAATTTCTATGAAACAGGAAGCAAATATCGTATTCCAAATACAGACATACTGATTAACAGATATAAAGGGAGCATGGCCGATTGGTTATGCGTCGTACTGTTTGTTAATCGATGGGTCGCTTTCAGTAAGTGGCTAACAGATATAAAATCGCTCATGAATAACGTTTCACAATCAACAGCAGTTCCCTTATAATGGCTGCTTACAATCTAATTTTCGGTATAAGTGGGTCATATTTTCCTGGCGTATGAGTGAATTAAACAAAGGCTAGTATAGATTGGATTTAATTTTTCACTTTTGTTTAACTAAACTTGCGTGTTTCTTACAATTTTAAGATTAAACCGCTTGACAAAAATGGTACCGTTCATGGTTCTTGAAACAAATTATGTATGACAATTAAAATGAAAGAATCTGGTTTGACACAGGAATATTATATATGATACATATTTATTTATCGTTTGTTGTATGGTGTCTCTAATCCGCAAATTCAATAGCATATCTGACTTCGATTTGTGATCATAATTTTTGAATGACACTCTGTAAAGATTGACTTAGATAAGTGGACCATGTAAGTGTCCATTTGAAAATCTGTTTTTGTCTAAAGGCGAAACAGAAAGTGTCAGACTCATTTCTAAAACAAAATCTGAACTTAGTTATGATGAGGGCTACCACAGAATGACATTTCAATTATATTTTTTTCTTCGGATATAATGTGTTCTATTTCTTTATGTTTTGAATTGTATTGAAATAAAATCAATCAATTATATTTCTTTAGTTTTCAAAACACAATTCCAGCTATCACAATGATATTTAGATGTCTTATTGGATGGTTTGGGGGAGAGGAATGGAGACACGTCGTTGTTGTTGATAGCAATAAATAAATAATATAAAATAATTGCACTTAAAGTTGTTATTGATAGTAATAAATGATAATTGCACTTAAAGTTGTTGTTGATGGCAATAAATGATAAGTGCACTTAAAGTTGTTGTTGAAAGCAATAAAATGATAATTGCACTTAAAGTTGTTGTTGATAGTAATAAATGATAATTGCACTTAAAGTTGTTGTTGATAGTAATAAACGATATATCGCTCTACTAGTAATAAACGATATATTGCTCTTACGTCACTATGTGTATTGCACTCATAGACTTTTGTTTTTTTGCAGCCAACCTCATCAGCATTAGACATGCACGCAAGTGAGATACATATCTGAAATAAAACAAATATCAATTATCTTTAAACTTTCTAAGCTAATACTGTATCATAATATTTCCATAAAAAGAATAATATGTTTGATAAAATAAGTTTAGAGGTTAAATGTGTATAGATACAGTAGGTTTTATAAACACTTTTTAATTTTATTCACGCATGTTAATACAAAAGGTTTTTCAAAGGTCAAATTAGAGAATGATGAAATAAGGAGAAACACATAATATGCTTATACAATGTAAAATCTCAGTTAAATTAAAATGTAATAGTTTATTTGGCATAAACATACACAATCCATCGCCATTACACAATTGTATTGCGGATAAATATGCACTTGAGAAAAGTATTTTAAACAGATTATGAAGGCGAAATATATATGCATATATATTTTGATAAATAACAAATAGATTTATTAGATGTGGAATTCATTAATTGATCAAATTAATGTAGAACTGGCCAATATCAAAAATAATACCGAAAATATTTTGTTCCCCAATTCGCAATATTTAGGATGTACATAAATAAAGTGAAATTCAGTTTCTGCTTTTCTCATATTACATGATTTACAAAGACATTCTGCCTTGCGTGATATTCTCGTAATAACATCCAGTTTCTTTGAATAAACTGTGCGTCGATGTTCTAAGTCATGATAGTGAAACCATATACTTGTTTTCTTTAATGCAATCTAATAATGTTCTCTTTGAAAATTATGTTTAAATGTACAGTATGTTTGAAGGCGTGGCGAATTATTTATGTGTTGATAATAATTATGTATCTAATAAGCAGTGTTTTATCAACTGGAACGGTATATTATTCACATACGTTTGTTAATTCCAAGCTTAATCAATGTACATCTAAATACTTTTCACTTGAGCAGTCCAGGTTTGGCCACGATACTCACGACCGCTCTTAAAACGCAGTGGTCTGCTTTATTAGTTAAGAGTATTGTGGCTGATTTGTGCCATTCGTGTTTCACCGCCAAGCGAAAAGTCGAGAAATAACAAGTTAAATTGACGGGATGGCTTGACGAAAACACGATAATTAGCGGGGGCGCGTGGCGAAGTTTAATAAATAAAACTTCGCCCTGTGCCCCCGCTAATAAGCGTGTTTTTGTCCCGCGACCCCGCCATTTTATTTCTTAAATCTCGCTCCGCGCCCCAGCGAGGCTAAATTTTAACTATAAAACTTCGCCCCGCGCCCTCGCTAACAAGCTTCCCGCCAATATATTTATTTTTCTAAATTCAGCTAGTGGTACGCATCCGAGTTCTCCATAAAATGAGACACACGATACGCGACGTAAGAATTTAGTTTGTAACAGTTCTATGTCGGTCGCTTGATGCATCCCCTATATTTCAGACCCGAAAATTGGAATAGAGCCAATCAAACTGTCAAATAAACAAACCTATATTTTGTTTAATTGGTAACTGGATATTATTAAAAATTGTGAACAGGCTAAATAATGCACGAGAAGCATGTTTTGCAATACACTTTTGACTGCGGTACCAGTTTCCATTTTTAATTTATATGATACCTAAATATTAAAATATTTCTTACTTCTTAGAGTGTATCTTCAATATAAAATTGATGTTGAGACTAGCGGCCTCTCTCAAATATTAATATTTTAGTTTTTGTAATATTAATGGTTAGACCCCCACTCCCCAAAATACGTTACAGGATCATAAATCATAGACTGGAATGGTTCCGGGGATCTAGCGTAAAGCATTTTGTCATCATCATACAATAGCTAAAAGTATTTACACGTATCATCAAAATTTGTATTAATATTGTGTACGGCGTCCTTCACGAAGTACATAAATAGCAGAAGGAAACTCGGGTGCCCATGATTCAATCCAGTGTAAGAGGTGAAGAATTTTTATGATTCTGTATTGAACTTTACACAAGACATAACAATAGTATACATTGCTTTTACGGCCCGTACAAATATACGACTGACTTTTTCTGTTAGAAGTTTTTGACAGCAAAATGTTCTATTAATTATATCAAAACATAACATATAATCAACAAAACAGCAATAAAGGTTTTTTCCCAAGTTCTAAAACTTCACTTATCAATTATTTGCTTTCCCTTTCGAAATCCGAATTGATTTCTGTCAAGCGTATCATATTTATTAGACCATTGAGTTAATTCGTCCAAAAGCAACCGAGAGTAAATTTCTGCAGAGTACTTTGATAAGCTTCAGTAATTCTTAGCATCATTTACGTCCCCTTGTGTAATTATTCTTAAACATCAAGAACAGGAATATTCACCATTGTTAAATAGTCTATTATATATTTTCATAATAAAAATAAAATTAAATCATAGCTCGACTTAAATAATTCACTTGGAAGGTTATCTAACCCTGGCATTTTATTATTGTTTTGGTCTAATTTCTTGTTCTGTAAAGTTGTCGGGCAGCGTCGGACTGATCGTTCTGCGGAATATAATCGTCATTTTCACTGCTCGGCTAATCGTCACCAAGCATGCCTTTAAAATGTTAAACAAACTATCGAAATTAAGGTTGTCAGCCTAAAATGGTGCATCTTTAAGATTTTCGATTTTTTTCCAAAATTGTCTAGGCTGAGATTTAGCTAAATTGCTAAATTTCTTTGCCTGTCGAATTTTGTACGTATTATATGCTTTCTTCTTCACTTTATCATACATGTAACTTAGTTCTAGCACGCGTGGACAATATCCTGTTTTCATTTGTTTTATTACGATTGAAATTATAATGCGCGCGTTTAAAGTCAATTTTTACGTTAACGCAGTTAGTATTAAACCAATTTTTGGTGGATTTTTTTTCTAGATTGCATGCTTACATGTTTTGTGTAAGAATGATCGAAGATTGTATACGCACTATCAGACATTAATGATAAATTCAGTATTAAACTTACTCTCATTCAATATCCTCTATTTAAGAAAATGAAATATTAAAAGGTGGAAATATTCTTGATGTACTCCACATTTACATTTAAAACATTTGCATTTCATTTCCATTTTGAAAAACAAATCGTTACAAAATTGAGTATATGACTCAAAAAAATACTTATACTATACAATACTTATACACTATTTATACTGCCGTCATTTTTGAGATAAATTTTTCGGCAAACAAACTCTACAAACTAAATGAAAGCCTTAAAAAATCAACAAGTAAGCAACATGGTTTCCTTTTACACTTTTTTATAATTTCGACAAAACAATTAAGACTACGAATTTGATCCGGATTCAACACATTTTGTTTTTTTTTTCTAAAAGGAGCTTGGTATTTTTATGCTCTCTATAAACAAGTTTCTTATAAAGGATTAAAGAAGGTAGCATATATGGCTGTTATTTGATGAAAGCTTCCAGAAGTTAGAATAAGTCCTTCGATTCTGTTCTTAAAATTCAAACATTCTTTTGTAAGGTTAATGCAAGTACAATATCTTATTTTTGTGGCTGCTTGAAGCATTTTTTAAAATGTCTTTCTCCTTTTTAGTATTTCGATTTGGTCATCCTTTTTTCTCTTAATTTTTTTTTCTTTTAAGTACGTATTTTTGTCCCTGCCCTTTTCTTAGTACTTGTCATAGTCTTCTTTCCCTTTAACATAATTGCTTTCCTTTTCATTAAAATCGCATTTATATTAAGATCATAAATATAAGCGAGTTCTTGTTTTTTATTTCTAAATTACTTTTTATCATTTCCCCGTCTTCTGTTTTTGATACATGTAACTGTAGCAGATTTTGTACAATTTAAATATTTTTTTTTGCACTGGTAATGGCTGTGCATCTAACCTAACACGAGACACGTGATAATCCTGATTAAATGACATGGTATTCGGCATGGTTTCTAATTATATTCTATAACAAAATGATACACTTTACGAAACGCCGTCATTAAAAAGTTAATCTGAATAATTTCAGAACATCTACTGACAAACAAGAGAAGAGTTTTGATGAAAAAGTTTGCTTTTTATCCAATTATACAGTTAAAAAGCATTTTTGTTAAGCAAATTATCATGCAAAACATAACAAATATATATTTAAACAAATTTAATACAGATATTCTATGTTTGGACTTTGACGCATAAATTATGTATGAAAAAGTAAATATCGAAAACCAACAACTTTGTCTTACACTAAGCACGCGGTTTTCAAATGATTGTGGTCGTTTTTGTTTAACACGTAATTTGTGAAATATTCACACTGAAACACAAACTAAATAAATAATTATGTCAAAAATAAATATCTAGAAAATAGTTTAATGAACAATAAACATGCTTTTTAGATAATTCTCAAAGAAAAAAAATTAAAATTTAATGAATGTGAAGACATACCAGAATAAAGCCCAAAAGATGTTCCATATTTCGCAGTCTATGTAAAATGCAATCTGCTCTATCGTAAAACATTTCACTGCAGAAAATTGGCTCTGCGGTTGATTTATACACGTGAATCGATTATTGCCCACGCAGGTATACATTAAAGGAACACTCAGGTAAAATATATAGTATCGAGAAGTTGGCACTGACATCGAAGATCGAAGATCGGAATTCAGTTTCTAGTGAATTTCAAGCTAGCTTTGAACTTCGAGCTAGCTCGAATATCGAAATTCAAAGTAAACAAAAGCTGAATTTCGAGCTGGAGTTGAATTTCGAGCCAGCTCGAACATCAAAATTCAAAATTTTCAAAACCCGAATTTCGAGCTGGAATTGAATTTCGAGCCAGCTCGAACATCGAAATTCAAAATTTTCAAAACCCGAATTTCGAGCTGGAGTTAAAATTCGAGCCAGCTCGAACATCGAAATTCAAAGTAAGCTTAAGGCGAATTTCGAGCTGGAGTTGAATTTCGAGCCAGCTCGAAGATCGAAATTCAAAATTTTCAAAAGTTGAATTTCGAGCTGGAGTTGAATTTCGAGCCAGCTCGAAGATCGAAATTCAAAATTTTCAAAAGTTGAATTTCGAGCTGGAGTTGAATTTCGAGCCAGCTCGAAGATCGAAAAAAAAAATTTCAAAAGTTGAATTTCGAGCTGGAGTTGAATTTCGAGCCAGCTCGAAGATCGAAATTCAAAATTTTCAAAAGTTGAATTTCGAGCTGGAGTTGAATTTCGAGCTAGCTCAAAGATCGAAATTCAAAATTTTCAAAAGTTGAATTTCGAGCTGGAGTTGAATTTCGAGCCAGCTCGAAGATCGAAATTCAAAATTTTCAAAAGTTCAATTTCGAGCTGGAGTTGAATTTCGAGCTAGCTCGAAGATCGAATTTCAAAATTTTCAAAAGTTAAATTTCGAGCTGGAGTTGAATTTCGAGCCAGCTCGAAGATCGAAATTCAAAATTTGCAAAAGTTGAATTTCGAGCTGGAGTTGAATTTTGAGCCAGCTCGAAGATCGAAATTCAAAATTTGCAAAAGTTGAATTTCGAGCTGGATTTGAATTTCGAGCCAGCTCGAAAATCGAAATTCAAAATTTGCAAAAGTTGAATTTTGAGCTGGAGTTGAATTTCGAGCCAGCTCGAAGATCGAAATTCAAAATTTTCAAAAGTTGAATTTAGAGCTGGAGTTGAATTTCGAGCTAGCTCGAAGATCGAAATTCAAAAATTTCAAAAGTTGAATTTCGAGCTGGAGTTGAATTTCGAGCCAGCTCGAAGATCGAAATTCAAAATTTGCAAAAGTTGAATTTCGAGCTGGGGTTGATTTTCGAGCCAGCTCGAAGATCGTAATTCAAAATTTGCAAAAGTTGAATTTCGAGCTAGAGATGAACTTCGAGCCAACTCGAAGATCGAAATCCAAAATTTGCAAAAGTTGAATTTCGAGCTGGAGTTGAATTTCGAGCCAGCTCGAAGATCGAAATTTAAAATTTTCAAAAATTGAATTTCGAGCTGGAGTTGAATTTCGAGCCGGCTCGATGATCGAAATTAAAATATTTTAAAAGTTGAATTTCGAGCTGGAGTTGAATTTCGAGCTAGCTCGAAGATCGAAATTCAAAATTTTCAAAAGTTGAATTTCGAGCTGGAGTTGAATTTCGAGCCAGCTCGAAGATCGAAATTCAAAATTTTCAAAAGTTGAATTTCGAGCTGGAGTTGAATTTCGAGCCAGCTCGAAGATCAAAATTCAAAATTTTCAAAAGTTGAATTTCGAGCCAGCTCGAAGATCGAAATTCAAAATTTGCAAAAGTTGAATTTCGAGCTGAAGTTGATTTTCGAGCCAGCTCGAAGATTGAAATTCAAAATTTGCAAAAGTTGATATTCGAGCTAGAGTTGAATTTCGAGCCAGCTCGAAGATCGAAATTCAAAATTTGCAAAAGTTGAATTTCGAGCTGGAGTTGAATTTCGAGCCAGCTCGAAGATCGAAATTCAAAATTTTGAAAAGTTGAATTTCGAGCTGGAATTGAATTTCGAGCCAGTTCGAAGATAGAAATTCAAAATTTTCTAAATTTGAATTTCGAGCTGGAGTAATTTCGAGCCAGCACGAAGATCGAAATTCAAAATTATCAAAAGTTGAATTTCGAGCTGTAGTTGAATTTCGAGCCAGCTCGAAGATCGAAATTCAAAATTTTCAAAAGTTGAATTTCGAGTTGGAGTTGAATTTCGAGCCAGCTCGAAGATCGAAATTCAAAATTTTCAAAAGTTGAATTTCGAGCTGGAGTTGATTTTCGAGCCAGCTCAAAGATCGAAATTCAAAATTTGCAAAAGTTGAATTTCGAGCTGGAGTTGAATTTCGAGCCGGCTCGAAGATCGAAATTCAAAAGTTTGAAAAGTTGAATTTCGAGCTGGAATTGAATTTCGAGCCAGCTCGAAGATCGAAATTCAAAATTTTCTAAAGTTGAATTTCGAGCTGGAGTAATTTCGAGCCAGCACGAAGATTGAAATTCAAAATTTTCAAAAGTTGAATTTCGAGCTGGAGTTGAATTTCGAGCCAGCTCGAAGATCGAAATTCAAAATTTTCAAAAAATGAATTTCGAGCTGGAGTTGAATTTCGAGCCAGCTCGAAGATCGAAATTCAAAATTTTCAAAAGTTGAATTTCGAGCTGGAGATGAATTTCGAGCCAGCTCGAAGATCGAAATTCAAAATTTTCAAAAGTTGAATTTCGAGCTGGAGTTGAATTTCGAGCCAGCTCGAAGATCGAAATTCAAAATTTTCAAAAGTTGAATTTCGAGCTGGAGTTGAATTTCGAGCCAGCTCGAAGATCGAAATTCAAAATTTTCAAAAGTTGAATTTCGAGCTGGAGTTGAATTTCGAGCCAGCTCGAAGATCGAAATTCAAAATTTTCAAAAGTTGAATTTCGAGCTGGAGTTGAATTTCGAGCCAGCTCGAAGATCGAAATTCAAAATTTTCAAAAGTTGAATTTCGAGCTGGAGTTGAATTTCGAGCCAGCTCGAAGATCAAAATTCAAAATTTTCAAAAGTTGAATTTCGAGCTGGAGTTGAATTTCGATCCAGCTCGAAGATCAAAATTCAAAATTTTCAAAACCTGAATTTCGAGCTGGAGTTGAATTTCGAGCTGGCACGAAGATCGAAATTCAACAAGAATTTCATTTTAATTGAACATTTTTTAAGAATCAACTTATTGTTCCTAATCTTTTCAAAACTGTCATGTTTTCAAACGTTGAATGGTCATTGACACTGACGTGCATGTTGACGTTACGTTACGTTATATTACACTGCAAATGAATTTCCGTAAGTGGTCATCTATTTAACTTTTGTCAGATTTGTTCTTTTTTCACATTTGTATGCCTCATTGTTGCCTTAAAAGAAAACATTCTCAAATTGTAGATAATGAATAAATAAAAATCTTTAAATATAACATTTATTTAAAGCTTTACTTTTTTATGTTTTCTGACAAATGTCAGATCACACTATTTCTTTCCTTTAAAAGAAAATGGTAATTCAGGATTACATCTTGGTTCTTTATTTTTGTATACAGAATCAGTATTTGCAAGATTACGAAATTTTGTATGCTAGGAATTTGCGGACTTTTAATAAAAAGATCCGTATTTAAGTAAAGTATAAAGTTGCCGTATATTTCGAATGTACGAATAACGACATTTCCCTTAACCACTACATCCGACAGGAAGAAACAAAACAACTAACTTCATTGTATTTTTTTGGTCTCGCAGTGGGACTGACTGGCTGACTGACCGACCGTGTATTTCAATTCCGTTATATACATTACATACAATTACATATACATGAATTCATATATTTATAAATTCAAAATGAATTTATATAATCTTTCAATCATTGTAAATTAAATATCATCAAACGTAATATATATCAATCAACATATATTCATACCATACATTACTGCATAATGTATGCAGAAACGAGTCTCACTCGTTAGCATTTCTAAAGGCAGCCACGCCTGTCATGAAGGGCCGCCCAATGTGGGCATTAACACAAGTACATTTACACTTGCATATTCTTTATGATAGAAACCTATCACAAATACAAACTAAAATACATAAATGTATGACATGAATCAGACATTACAGCCATGTTCCGAGAAAAAATGATTACCAAAATACTTATAAAGTATTTATAGTAAAAAAAGTCATTAAAGAAAATGACATTCAACACATATCTGAATAAAAAGAATTAAAAATTAAACGCATGTATCGGACAGTCAATCCCAAAGCTGTATGACATACACACTGAAAAATACGCACGTGCAAACCGTGCGCAAAACGACACCTATCGGAACTACGTTATCAAGGGAAATCAATTTTCGACTAATTCGCTTTGCTTAAACGTCGACAATTACATTTCCTTAACCACTACATCCGACAGGAAGAAACAAAACAACTAACTTCATTGTATTTTTTGGTCTCGCAGTGGGACTTACTGGCTGAACCTAAAAGAACGGGCTGCAATATTACGGTTCGTACATTCATAAACCAAGATATTTTGAAACTCTGAGTCTCTCATCAACTGAACTTTTACATAACCATCTTTTGCGGTTTCACTTTGCCATCTGCCATGGCGCTTAAATAACCTATCAGGTATGCCATCATTAGCAGCAGCAGTAGCTCCTCCTGCCCTTAGAGAATGGCTACAAAACTTATTTACATCATCAACTAACTTTTTAAACGACTGTAACAAACAAATCTCGGAAATTACTATAAGATAAAGGCTTGTCTTGATTTCTTAGCACATGGCCATCTTTAGTAGCAGTAAGACGCCCAAACAGAAAAACATTCTGAACCAGGACGGATACCCGTCCAAAAAATATATTTTTCTAAATTAGCAACCGGACACAAACACGTTCCGGTTCGGGCTATAAATATACCTTGCTCCTTCACAATACATATCGGTTTTACTTGATTCAATAAAAAATACTTTAGTATGAATCATAAAAACAAATATCACTTCTCTTTAACTTCAACTCTTCAGCGGATCTCAAAAAACCAGCAAATGCAATTAAACATATACATATAAATCTTTGATTCATTATGTTTTT